CTGAACTCCTGCATGGCCAAGTTGTTGATGCCTATATTCAATTAATTTCGTGACCAAGGGGTGTTTACGATCCAATATAATAGGATGCCTAAATCCATGTTCGTCCTCTCGATTGATAACAGGTGACTTTAGTCGCAGCAACCCATTTCCATCTCTGTAGGTATCCAAAGTGCTCAATCGTGGTTCATCTCTGTCACTAAAGGATTCTTGTTGACTCAATTTCAAGACTATCAGTTCTGCAGCAACAAACTCTCTCGTCGATAATTCTCCCGATATTCTCTCAAGACGTGAAGTTCGACAATTAGCGGCAAAACGAAGAATCCATCCTATGGTCCGTACTATTCTTAAGTATTTAGATTGTCTCTTCATGTACCAACCTTCATCTTTCTCCACAGCGAGCATCGACGTCTCTCTTACTACAGTAATATCTGGAGAGACTGCGTTATGACCTACTGATTTCTTGATTTCACTGTCGACCTCGGCTTCATTAGACGTATATTTGGTTGAAGGCCAATACTCTTTCGATGATTTGAGCCATGCCGGGCCCTCCCACCATCGCGATTCCACCAATTGCTTGGCTGTACATCCCCGCGAAGGTAGATCAGCCGGATTCATGTTCCCTGGTATATGGCGCCATCGATTCGGATCTGATAGTCTGCGTATTTCCTTTACTCGGTTATAAACGAATGTATTCCAGGGTTTATCTCTGTGGATCCACGCCAAGACAGTAGTGGAATCCGTCCAAAAGAAAGCTTCTGTAGTGTCAAAATTCAAAGCACTCTTCATCGTGTGCCATAAGCGTGCTCCAATTGTAGCAGCAAGCAACTCTAACCTTGGAATTGTTGCTCGTCCTATCGGGGCTACTCTACTTTTTGCCTCGATGAGTTGAACGTAGACGCCGTCAGTCTCTTCTGTTCGCGCAAATAAAGCTGTCGCGTATGCATCTTGACTGGCGTCGACAAATATGTGAAAAGATAGATTGCTCTTCTCTTCGTTTTGGCGAAAGACCTGCCGTGGGATATGTAGCTTCTCCAACCAGTCGAGATGTAGTTGCCACTCATGAAATTCCGCTTCCACATCCTCCGGTACTACAGCGTCCCAATTAATCTTGCTTGACCAGAGATTCTGCAATAAAAGTTTCGGTTTTAAAAATACCGGGGATGCAACTCCAATAGGGTCAAATACACGTTGAGCTGCAGATAATATGGTTCTCTTCGTGATTCGCGAACCCGTGTGTGATTTGAGTGAAGACGTGGACAATCCCAAGGTATCTTCAATCTTGTTCCATTTTAAGCCAAGCACTGAGGTCGATGTCTCTATGTCTTCTTGTCCGGTATATTCCCAGCCTCGTAGATCAAAACTACCTTTCGCCATCACTCGTTTCGCCACTTCTATGAAACGAAACAGCTCACTCTCTGTATCGATGCTGGTTACGCAGTTGTCGACGTAAAAGGACTTCCTCATTTGCTCTATAATTTCCTTTTCTTCTAGATCAACTTCCTGCGTGATTCTCTGTAGGTGATATTCGATAGTTCCTCCCAACAGAAAGGGGCTGCTAGAAACTCCAAAGACGACTCTTCTATGTCGATATACCTCTATTTCTTCTGGGTGTGTCCCCTTCCACCAGAGAAATCGTAGTACGTTCCTATCTTCAGGTGTGACACTTATTTGCAAAAAGGCTTTGCAAATATCTGAAACCACTCCGATTTTATATTGTCTGAACCTCAGTAGTATGTTCGGAATCTGTTCTATCAAGTTGGGGCCTATCTCTAGACACTGATTGAGCGAAATGCCATTTTTTCCGGTGGCCGACGCGTCAAACACAGGTCTAATCCTGGTAGTACTGCTATCTTTAAGTACGTGCCTATGAGGTAAGTAGTAACTCTCTTTTTCTACCTCGTTATGTGGAACTCTTTCTATTATGCCTTCAGACAGCCATTGACCAAATACTTCCTGGTAGTTGTCATAGAGATTTTGTGCTTTGAGCCTCTTTGTGGTAGATACAAGCCGATGTACTGCAGCATCCTTATTGTCAGTCAACGGTAGGTGATTCTCTTTCCAAGGAAGTAACACTTCGTATCGGTTGTCGTTGCCTATCTTGATCGTCTGTTGAAAGTTTTCTTTTATCTGTGCTTGATGTTCCTCCTTTGTTTTTTGTATTATGGGATCCGTAATGCCTAACGCATCTAAATGCCACAAATCTGTGATACTCGCTTCTTGCGCAAACATGGAGATAATCATTAAAGCTGTACCGGTCTTTTCACTCGGTCGGGTATTCGTTTTTCCCATCAATGTCCAACCAAGTAATGTTTTTGAAGCGACAGGCCCAGATTCAAGTTCCATACGCTCGCCTGTTATTAGTTTTCCCGCGATATCTGCGCCAATCAGGATTGCCACTGGTTCGTCTCTTGTGTTAACGTCGGTCAGGTGTATTCCTTCTCGTTGCAGCTCTTGCAGCCATGGCCCTCTGCTTATCGATGGAACGCTCCGACATATTTCCTTTTGGTTCAATGCTACAAAATCACAAGAATACGAATCAGCCAAGCTCTTCAAACGGATCTGGTAACTTTGGTGTACTTGCGGTTTCGATGTTGAGCCTCCGAACAACATATGTACGACTTCTTGCTCTCCTATACTTTTGAAACCTAATTCTTTAGCGTAATGATCGAGTATATATGACCTATGCGATCCCGTGTCAAAAATAGCTCTGACCACCTTCTCTTTTCCTTGATTACACAGCTTTACACGAAGAGTTTGCAAGAACACGTTGCACAAGGATGAGACGTTTGAAAGATTAGGCTGCTCCTGCG